TGGAGTCTGTGCTCTAATTGCCTTATTCTCCCTGTTCTTTAAAAGAAGGAAAAAAACTCCTCCACTCCTTCATTTATCTGCCTTTGGTTGATGGCTCCCAAGCCATGACTTTAAGTCCCAACCTCTGCTCCCTAAACCCCAGATTCATATCACTGGTTCCCTACAGGACACTTCTACTCAAATTCCACATGTTTAATGCTAAATGCAATTTCATCTCTCCTTTGAATTATTCCTGTTATAAATTCCCTAGTCTCCTAGCTTACCTGGCTTCAATCCTTGGATGTCTCAATGTCTTTTTTTCTTTTTCCCCAGCCAGTAGTCATAAGTTCTATCACGCCGCCATATTACTCAAGCCCTTCCTCTGACTTTACTTATTTATATTATTTATTAACATTATTTATTTTATTATTTATATTATTTAACATTATTTATATTATTATTTATATTATATCAACATTATTTATTTTATTTAATAAATAACTCAAAGTCTGCTGTTTCAGTCAAGGCTGGCCTTTTATTCTCTGTCTCAGATGCCATATTCATTTTGTCACCATCGTAAATCTGTGCTGATCCCAATTTCTGGCTCCTGTATTTACATTATTACAAAGTAATGCTGCTATACTTTTTTCTGGTCTCATCTCTTCCATGATGCACCACCTTACAACCAAAGTCCACATAAACCTTTATTTCTCTGATTGTCTAAGGTACATTTATCCTGAACCTTACAACCTGGTTGTAAAAAAAAAAAAAAAAAAAATCTTCATAGTTCTTTTTTTTGTCTCAATCTGTTTGTATTAAATTAGAATACTATCAAACAACTTTCCTGTTTATGATTAAAGGTTCAATGATGCTGGGTTTCAAACTGAATATGTCACGGAGCCCCTTGGGCTACTTATAGTATAGTGCAGGGCTTACTTCAAGCACACACATTACTATAAACTAAATCAAATAAATGTCATGAAAGACTTGCAAGTTTGACATCTTGTCACTCTGGATTTACTAGAAACAGAGGGACAAACTAGACAGTATTTCTCAGCCCAATTAACATTGAATGAGGTACACTTTAGATGTGTATTCCTTACCAGCCATACCAGTATCAACAGGTGCTGACTACATGCTGTAAACTGAATATTTCACACACATTCTCTGTAATCCTCACGGACTGGCAGGGCAGGCATTATGAAACCCATTTCAAGGATGAAGGATCTGACTCTCAATTAAGTTATGTAATTTCACATGCCCACACTGAGACAGCCAGTAAGTGGCAGAGCCAGAGTTTGTAGCCAGATAGAACTAAAAAGCCTGTGTCCGATTCCCTGCTCATTAGTGCCCAACTACTGAGTAATGGATAGATCATTCGCAGATAACACTGTTGAGAGGAACAGTGCTCATGCAGATATGGTGCTAGAAATAAGGGTATTATTGAGATTTCTTTAAGAAACTTGTCCTCCAAATATTTGAAGTTGTCTGGCTTTATACATGTTCTCTGCATTTTTCTTTTTCTGGAAATGCGCCAAATTCATCTTTGCCTTATCAGTGTCACACATGGCCTACTTAAAGGGTATGAATAAAAAATTAACCACTCAGATTGAAGAAGCAGTAACAAGCTAGCTTCAAGTCTATAGGCAACTTGGCTCTTACTGGATGTCCATCCCAGCTCTTGTTCACACTCAGGGTCATTAAGAGGCATATCCTGCTTCACATGCACAGGACTTTGCCTGTGAGGATCCATTAGTGCTAATGGGTCATTTTCCTCCCATCACTCCAAGGATCAAAAGGAGAAGCTGTGTCTTTGATGAAGTAGTAATGGTACCCAGGGCTTAGACCACTTAAAGGTGTTCTTTGTTCTCTTCATATGGCAACCCACCCAGGGAATTTAGACCACTATCTGCTATATGAAGAGTTTATAGACAGTACTAAGAGGTAGTGCTAAGTGCAGCTTCAGTAATAAAAATGAAAATGAGTTTCCTATTTATAAAGCCAAACTCATCCACTTTGGTATGTTTGAGGCTTACATACTGCACTGCTTGGATTGATATTTTCTGCTCCTTAGTAACACAGGGGAAACATTGCTACTTCTCTTCAATAAACTTTCAAAAAGTTGTCAGGCAAATAAGTTTGCTAGTAGGAAAAGACAGGGAGTGTGGTAGGAAGTGGGAAGAGAAAAAAAAGTAAGTGCTTTTTAGAATTAGCTCCCTCTCCATGTGTTGCCTTACCATTCTTGTTTTCTTGATTTTTTTTTTTTTCTACTGTGACCTTCATCCATCGGGTGGCTGACAATATTCATTCAGTGCTTAGAGCTCAGTTCTAGGAACTATGGGAGAATCTAAAATAAACAAAAACACAGTCTTTCTCCTCCAAGGGGGTGCAGTCAGAAAGGTGAAGGTTGATTATCAAATATATAGCATTCCATACATAAATTTCAGTACTAAGTTCTACCTTGGAAAAGCCTGGAGCAATGCCAAGAATTCTTCATTTAATTTCCCGTGGTTCTCTAATTTGTTAGTCCTGGAGGAAAGCTGAAATTTCATAACAAATTTAGTTCAACAAATGAATGTAGGGAGCATTCCCTTGCATTGACATTTGACATGTGAAAGTATAAATCTCAGCTTAAAATTTCTGATGCGCAAGAAAGGTAACTTTCTATAATTCACCTTTGTTTCTATTTTGAGTTGTGTTTCTTTGAGTTAGTGAAAATATAATCTAAGGCAATTTTGGTTTTCTTCTTTCCCTGGAATTATGTCTAAATTATTGAAGGGGCGGTGGGGCTTCCATTGTACAGTCTTTTGGGAGGTAGAGGAAAGGAGCACAGAAGCTGGTATCAAATACTCTATGGTCACAACTCAGGCGCCTGCTGAATTGCCACCCAGCATTTTCATACTAGTGTGCATCACTTCTTCAAATCAGACTTTTTCTGCTATTTCTGGCCACTCTGGAAATTGGTCTATTGCTCCCATATCACACTGGAGTGTGGAAAGTTCTGTGAGATTGTCTAAGCTCCCAGCATGTCTAAATCTACCATGCAGCCATTTCTTTTCAAAGATCTCGCCTCTGCCTCTGGGTTTTCCTGAGGAGATGCACACAGATCTCCATTACTCTCCTAAACCTATCTGAGGTTTTGACACTCGGCAAGATTTAGTTTTTAAATTAGAAAACGGTGCCCTCTTTTTGACATTCACCAATGACTATTCTCATACAACTATACTTATCCAACTTTTTCTTCTACTTCCCCGAATGGGAAGCAGGAAAGCTAATGTACTCTTCTCATGTAAATGCCTTTACGTTCTGTCTGTTTCACACCTTGAAAAGTCAGGGCTTTTAAGATTCAGATACAGAAAGGTAATTTTGTATCTTTGATTCTGGATACCTTTCTCTGAAGCAACTAAAACACAATGGCTTGAAATTTAAGTGTGAGGAAAGAAAAAGGAGAGAACAGAAATTTGGACGGAAAACATCAAATAACGTTTCAGACCGAAAACATGCTACCCTTTAATATTAAGGATGGTGGTTAGTAGTCAATAGATTTTTATTTTATTTAAGAGGTTCAGAATTAAACACATCCAGTACTTTCAGTACAAATTTTATAGGATCAATCACATCCTAGTAAAATACTTAGAGCTTTGGTTTGTGGGTCAAGGGACCAAAGTTCTCAGTATTTAAGTCTAAATGACTTTAAGCAAGTCACATTATTTTTGTGTTTCAATTTACTCACCAATGCAATTCAGGAGTGACAGTCTATGGTGACAAGGTAAGCCTATTACTTCTTCATGGATGCTCGCAGAAAACATGAGAATTCTGGGTTGGAAACCAAAGACTTTATTACTCATGGCTCAACAAATACCATGTGTGTCAGTTCTCCTAGCTCCCATGTCCCATGAAGGCAACACAGAGACGCCCAGATGAACATTAGGAATGTAGGGGTTTTGTGTTACACTGGAAAATGTGCCAGTAACATGAAGTTGTACAGAATGGTTGATGTGAGAAAGAAAATTCAAATGAAAATGAAAAGTTAGAGAAGTAGCTAAAAAGGGTATGCTACCAGAACTTGTAGATAAGAGCAGTGTATTATGGAATTTTGAGGTCATACTTTTTATGTTCTGTATTGTTTAAGTGTTTACTAGAGTCAGTTAATTACATCAACTGAGTGCCATCCAGATATGATGAATAGTCTGCAATAGGAAATGAGACAGAATCAAAAATGAATTTCAATCTTTTCCTTTTCTTTTTTATTTTTTTAAGTAGTGGCCCATAATGTTGGGGAATCCCCAACCTAGAGACATGCACATGACAAAGCTGTGCAAAGTGTTCTATTTGAAACTGCAATAAAATTGGAAAAAATAAATTGATAACAGAGCCCGGAAAAGCATAAAGAGTTGAAAGTGGTGTAATTTTACCTAAGAAAGAAACTTCTGGAGAAGGATGTAATATTCAGTTACATAGAGGTGATTATGGGAATGATTAGTGAACAAGATAGGTACAAGAAACGATAATGGGCTTAAGCGTAGTGTAGATGGTGACTTTAAACACTAGAAAGAACTTGTTGAGCTGCTTCTGATTAACTGAAAGACCCAGAGTTCTCCAAGCAGAATGTAAATTTAATAATAATATCTACTTGACTGAGCATCTACTACATATTTTTACTCTAATGGGTGCTTCCTATATTTTATCTCATTTAATCTTCATAGCAACCCTACGGGATAGGTTTTATTATTCCCATTTCAGAAATGAGGATAGGTTTTATTGTTCTCATTTTAGAAATGAGAAACTAAAACCAAAAACAAACAAATAAACAAAAAAACATTTTCAAGGCCATAGCATTGGTAAGTAACCGGGATTGGATTTCAATGAAGGGGCATGCATCTCCAAAGTACATGATTTTTTTACTTTGCTATACCATACCGAACTCCTGACTGTCATAAAGCTGCTTTTTCCCCATCCTACTGTGTGTTTAAAGTCAATGCCATGTTACTTTTGTGACAAAGACTTTAATCTTCCCTCAGGTGACTTGTATATCGGAGGAGTGGCTAAAGAAACATACAAATCCTTGCCAAAGCTTGTCCACGCCAAGGAGGGCTTTCAAGGCTGCCTGGCATCGGTTGATTTAAATGGACGGCTTCCGGATCTCATCTCAGATGCTCTTTTCTGCAATGGACAGATTGAGAGAGGATGTGAAGGTACTAAATCTTTGTCATCACACTCTAAATCATTCTAATTCCACCTATAAAAGAGAACAAATGTGGATAGCCAGCAAAATTCTGCTAACTGGTCAAACTCCCATTTAAGGCTTAGAAATCCTTATTCATGTTTTCAAATTTTCATCCCGTAAATCTTAAATTTTCTGGTCTGTCTGCAAGCTTACACTACTGCCTGATATAAAATGGGAGCTATTTCTATGACTTTTGTGATTTTCTGCTTCTTTGCATTACTATAGTTCACCTAATTACTGTGTTAATTTGTTCTGCAATGCTATCTTTATAGCATTAAATAGATACCCCGTTTAGACTAGAAAAATATATTTACTCCAGCAAGTATTAGTCAATTTGAGCCTATTTTAAAAATCTATATTCAGTAGGATATAACAAGAGAGTAAAGGTTAGATATCCCATTTTCAAATCACTATTTGATTCGTGTCTACCTGGCAGTGAGAGTGTATCCATATATTATTATTTTTTTAAGCGCAAATAGGTTTTCTGTGTTACACAAGGCTAATATTCTATACTTCAGAAATGTGATCAAGTATCTTCTGTTCTTTTGTGCTCTCTACCAGACCAAAGTTTGTAGGAGTACTCTGATTGCTGCTTTCATTTTAGATAATTTTTCACTTCAACACCTTGGATTATTTGAGCCAATTCTCCCACCATAAACATAATTCAATCACATTATCATAAATTTTGTAGCTCTGGATGTGTTGTTGGTGCTTCTTTAACATTGAACACAATTTGGGCCATTTTGAAACTTGTAGCTTTATAAGGAAATTTTGTCTGGGAGAAGATGAAGAAAATGTGAATTTCTATCCTCCAGGAGATTATGAATCATTTCTTCTGAGCCAAAATAATGTCATTATATGAGCGTACTTCAAAAAGTTCATGGAAAAAATAGAATTTAAAGGTAATATGAATCTTTTCATGAACTTTTTGAGGATCCCTTTCATGTAGCAAGTACCCAAGTACATGGAAATTTTTTAATTGAAAATACTTTCTTTTTTTTCTTTCTGCAGCATATATTTTCCTGAAAGGTTAGGTGAAATTCAAACTGTGTTTTTTTAGTTTTTTGTTTTTTGTTTTTTTGTGACTGGTAAGGGGATCGCAACCCTTGGCTTGGTGTCACCTACACTGTGCTCAGCCAGTGAGCACTCTGGCCATCCCTATATAGGATCCGAACCTGCAGTGGGAGCGTCGCTGCACTCCCAGCGCCGCACTCTCCCAAGTGCGCCACGGGGTCGGCCCCAAACTGTGTTTTAATACTTCCAGAAGATAGGTTATATATGGAAGGTTTTGTCAAATTCATTTTTAATGTTATTACCATATTTATTTTCTTTATTTCAAATTTTGGCATAATACTGTTGTAAAACAAAGGGAAAAGGGAAACCGTGTGTTTTCTCCTTTTACCAATTTAGTAAAAGAAACAAAATTAAGTGAATAAATTCCCTCTTGTTAAATGGATAGCAAAATGTGAAACTGAACTTTGGTTCTCAGAGATGATTTAATTAGTAAGAATAAATACTTACAAAATTTGTTAATTTTGTCCCAATAGCCCCCAAATCTCAACTCATTACAGCACCAGCTCAAGAGCATAAAATAGCCAAGTGATGCTGGTGCGGTGGGTCTGTGGTCCGCACTTGACAATTACTGCTTTGGATGACATTTTTCTGCTTAATTAATTGAAAATAAAGACTAGTATTCAACCAATATATGAGCTCACTAACGTTGAGATACCTTCTCTACATAAAGTCAGTGAAAATTTTCACAGACATTCTTTTTGTAGACCTGTAATACCCAGCACTAGACTGCTTTATAAGCTACAAAAATAATTTTCTATTATGACAGCCCTCGTTGATAAGGCACTGGTGGAAGTAAGTTTACATACATTATCTCGTTTAATCCTCAAAACTCTATAATTTCGATATTACCGCCTTTTTTTTGGATGAGTAAATTGAGCCTCAGAGCTGTAAAGTGGCATTCCTAAGGTCATACACCCAGTAAGTGGGTGATACAAGCTTCAACCCCAAGTCTACCATAATTGAAAGGCACCACTTTTCTCTATACTCTCTTTGGTTTTAAGAGATTATAGCCTTACCTTCAGTTTCCTTTCTTTTTCAGACATATCTTTATTTTTAATCACTTAATACATATGTCCTTGTGGCTTGTTCCCAATTTTACTCAGTGATAAATTAAAAGAAACTATGTAACTAAAGGGGAAAATAAATTCAAGGCTCTGTCTTATGCAAGTGCTTGTCAATGTTTAAATATTGTTCTAGAAGGTGAGTACTTGGACAAATGTGTCAGGCATAGGCATGCATTCTCTTATAATACATGAATATAAAAAGACTGTTGTGATAAGAAAATAATAATAAAAATAAAGCATATCTTTATGCTCACATGCAAGCTTAGCAGGTACTCTGAGTTGCCACTCTATGATATAGGCAGATTATGTTTTTAGAAGTGCAGTTTTACTATTTCTAGTGTTTAGCAATTGCATTTCTGATAATTTCTGAAAAACAAAATAAAAAATCTGTGTCTTCCTCAGTTCTTTCTCCTGCTGTGCATGTCAGGGATCAAATAGCCATTTGATAAAACAGCATCTGACCCAAACCACTCCCTGATCCTTAACTTATCCCAGGAAGGAATATGCTAAGGAATATTGCTTTCGAAGATTTTATTTTGAAAAAAAAAAAACACTGATTATTTTCAGTCTCTATTGCCATGGGATAAAGATCTGCAGACCACTTACCTCTCACAGGTTGGAACAACAAAAAAACTGAGCAAATTAGTGGTTATTAGTTCTTTGATGCAAAAGTTGAAAAAACTGTTACATGTATTCAGGGGGTCCTAGACCTGGAAGATTATTACTACTACTACTACTACTCCTATTTATAAAAACTATTATTGTTCTTGTTATTATAATATAATTAGGATTTAAAACGTTCTGATTTCTGAATTTATGAAAATTCACATAGGTTAGTCTAAATTTAATAACTTTCTGTGAAAAATACCTTTACTGAGAAAGTTGTAATAGAAATGTGATTGTAAGATATACGTTTAAAAGCTATTTTACAAAAACATCAGTTTACACAAAGGCTAATTACATTTCACTAAAGCAGGCACCTCACTGTTAATAACATCTAATGAGGCTGGTGTCTATATTTATATTTTAATAAAACCTATAAAATTATGTTTCCCAGAAAATATATTTAATTCATATTATAAAGCTATTTAGGTGGACTGCATTCCCATTTCACAGTTCTCTAAGATAGCCCTTGTTAGTGAGGTTTTACTGTAATAATTATTCACAGGACAGTTTATAAGAGTTGAAGACAATTATGAAGGTATAGAAAATACAGACATAACTCTGAAATCCTTAAGTATTAAATACCCAGCCTGGTAAGTGCAAGGATGAACTATCGACATTGAAGTCTTATAAATAATTTTTTATGGGGTTTATTTCTTCCATCCTTTACTACTTTTTTCATCCACTTCAAATGATATATGCATTTTGATGTTTGGTGTTACTCTAAAGTCCAGCTGTTGGCTGTGAGTAGCTGGCTTTACAATTTAAAGCCTTAATTGCCACAGCAAGATAAAAGATCTAGAAGAAAATCATAGAAAGGGGTAATTGGTCTTCTAATGACCACAGTCTACACTGTATCTGCACATGACAAATGTGCTGCATGTTCCAAATAAGCAATGCAGTCACTTTGGTAATGCATTCATATCTATCCAAGAGAGGAAAAAATACAAAAGCCCTTTTAATTTTCCTTCATTACATGTCATTGGCTCAATTAACCATTACATATACATATAGACAGTAAAACTCTAATAAATTACCGCTTTCTCATTTTGGGCTTCTGTTAAGATTTATGGCTGTTAGTATTAATTTGTTTGCTCCACATAGCCTTTTTTTTCCCCCTTTACAGCAGCATGCTTTTCAAATCTGAACGTTCTTCTGTGTTTGCCCCATTTCAGTATTGCTTACTAACATTTAATATATTTTGCTTTTTTTTTTTTTTATTTTGCTGACAAAGTTGCATTGATGAAAGCTGACTTGCAAGGTAGATAGCCCTGTGTGTATAAAACAAGACTGAAACCCCATAATACGCAGTGGAAACACTGAAATATCATTTTCTTTTTTTTACATTTTTGCAGTAACTATTATTTGGGTTCGGATTTCATTTTTTCTCTTCTTGAACATGTGCAAGAAACCTCATTTTGTAGCATAGTTTTCATAAAGGCTTTCAGTCTTGAATATGTTTGTACAGTGATTGCCTTTAGTGCTTTGATCATACATTTTTCAGTTCTTTGTTTGTCAGTTTTCTAGTTATGATTCTTTAGAAATAGACTAGCGTTCTGTTTACTTGTATGTTAACTGGGGGCATGTCCTTTATACAGAGATTTTCATTTTATGTTTAATTGCATGAAATTGTTAAAGCATGTGAATTGATACTTGCCAACATACCTATCCGAAACACCCAGCAATCATAACTTTATCCATACTTTGTGCAGGGAAACTTCTAGAACCTCTAGGGCATTTTTGCATAACTCTCTTCAGTTATTTTGCCAATCTTTATCTCAATTTCATGAAGTTATAATCTCCATTTCTCATGGTGTTTCTATTCATTGGTCAGAAGTTGAGGAGATCCATTCATTTTTTAAAACCCAAATGGTGACAGAGAATTATTGATGATGTAATGAGATTACTTGCTACCATAATCATACTAGAAGCTATGTGCTTGCTTTTACTTTTTGTTGATTTTGTTCATTATTAGAATGCATTCTGTCCTATACTTAAAACTTAAAAAACTTTCATGTTATAGCATCAGGTGTGTGAACTAGAACTTTCAAAATTAGTTTGGACATGTACTTTGAGATGTTGGCAACTACTGTATGTGATCTAACTCGTGTATAAAACACTTTTGAATTTTTTTTAAAGAACCCAAGTTTCTCTTGGATTGTTTTGCAGGGCCCAGCACAACCTGCCAAGAGGACTCGTGTTCCAATCAAGGTGTGTGCTTGCAGCAATGGGATGGCTTCAGCTGTGACTGTAGTATGACCTCCTTCAGTGGGCCGCTCTGCAATGACCGTAAGTACCTATCTGAGCATGGAGTGATACTTGCCATTGCTTCCAATTATTGTTTGATATACATTGTCTATATACTGAGAGTCCTTATATTATCCCTGAGGAAGTTGAACTTCCATAACCAAGAGAAGCAGTTGCTTCTACAGAAAGGACTTTTTTAATTACTAAATTAATCAAGGATGCCATAAGCTAAATGCTGTGCTGATGGTGATTATTTGGTTTTCAACTGTTTGTTGCATTTTTTTGATTGCTAATGGTCATCTTATTCAAAAGAATTGTAAAATTTTTCCATATGAAAATTATCTCCTGCTTTTTGAAAGAAGACCCTTTGTATTTCTTTACATTAAATAATATTTAATTTCATAAGATTATATAGTGAGAGCTGTAATTTTAGTGAACGGTTACAGGTCTCATGTTTTTCTCTCTCTGTACATCCCTTTAAAGCTCATTTGTGCCTTTAACTTTAAAAACAAAGTGTTTAAGCTTTGTCCTTCAAGTACTCTCCCTTGTATTTTAGCCACTCTTGATTTTTTTCCCCTTTAGTCTCACTATATAAGCATGACAATGAAAAACAGCATTCACATCATATCATGGCATATCTGCTAGTGTTGAATCTATATAACAGCAGCCAGGATTTTGAGATGTAATTAACTAGTCTATAGGATGAAATTCTGTTTCTTAACTTTCAAATAAGTCCTGCTTTATAGCACTTTGTCAAAATGATGAAAGCATTTCCTATAAAACATGGCATTCTGCTATATTAGGAGAATATTCCTGATAAAGCCTCCTGGTTGCAAAATAGAGTACATGCTTTATGTTGTAAATGCTATCACATTTAAGCTAAAGCTCCAGGTTGATGGGATGGGGATGTGATGATTGAAGGTTTGGGCTTCCCAGCAGAGGTTGGACTTGAATGTGGATTTGAAAGAAATAACTAGTGTTTGCTCATTTTGACCTTTGTCTAGTTGAGACTCTATTCATGTGAGTAGATATGTGTATCACAATGTCAAAGACAGGGTCAAACTAAAATATTCCGTTCAACTTAGTTGTTGTAGCCTAGCAATATAGTGCAATTCATCAGCTGTCTTCAGGTTTCTTGTCCAAAATATTGAACCAGCGACTAATACCAAATAAAATCTTACTTGGAAGAGCCGTTTGATAATCATGTCACAAAAGATAGATAAATATTTGGTCTCCGTCCTACCAGTGTCATCTTCCATAGAACTGCAGTAAACTTGAAACAATAAATGTGTATTTAAGCCATCATACATTTGTAAACATTGTATTTCTGCAAAACAAATCACACTTAAAAACAATCCAATTTTGGATTATATAAATAACCTTACATAAAGACTCACTAAATAAATATACATACATAAAGCAAATAAAATTTAAGAAAAACATACATAACCTGTAATAAAGATACGCACGTATGTCTTTAGAGCAGTAACTTCCTACATTTGTTCCTACCCCAAGAAAAAGATGTAAACTTATATTCAAGAACAACCAGAAGACTGAAAATTTGTTATGACTTTATTATGGCAAGTTTTTAATCCTGAATACTGTCCTGACAGATGTATGACTACATGTGGTAGCTGAGAGGGCTTTTTTGCTATAAAAATATTTTTCATTTTCTGAAGAACTTTCTCTGCCAACCTTTACTTAATCTAGTTTCCATTTTACAAAACAGTTGCCATTTGGTTGTCAGACTGTATCCTCATATACCAGTTAAATATTAAAAATATAATTTTCTGTATGTATTTGTTAGTCTTGACCTAAAGAAACATCAAGCTCCAACCTTAGGTATCATTCTGCCTTCGAATCATTTTTTAGAAAACTATTTGAATGCTGCTCCTGGGTGATAGTAGTGGTGGTGTCAATGATAAGGCTATATGTTATTTTCTTGTAAATAAGGTAAATGTCATTCAATAAATGTGTCTCCTGATATGCCTCTTGCACAAATCAGTATTAAAATTACTTTGGAGAGCTCTCAGAATACATGCATTTTGATTAAATCATTACCTCTTAGAGGGTTTTCTGTAAATGTGAAATGGTTCCTTGGTTTGTACCTTTGTACATTGGAATTTCAGTGGTGAGGACATGGAGTTAGAAATCAATATTTAAAAGCAAATCTTATTTTCACATCAATTATGATTTGTAGAAGGTACAATAGTAATTCTTACTTTAAAGACATGCAATTAATGTGGCAATAGAAGTAGCATGCCGTATTATCACATTTTCCTCTCTTTTTAAATTGATCAGAATGCATTTTGTCTCCACATCTCATTATTTTTCTGTGAGTTACACAAATAGAATTATTATGATTGCTGGGATTTTAACAAACTCCTTTTCTTAATGAAGGTCGACTTTTCTTTTCTAAATAAAGCCATTTAGGGTATTTCATTTGTTAATAAAATTTTCATTCGTAGCTTACTTATTAATCCATAAATTCTATGACTGTAGTATCCATTGTCATAGAAAACAAAAAAGAAAAATAGATACAAAACTTTTGAATAAGGGAAAGAGCACACCACATTACATATAAGACCCCCTCTTCCCCCAAAATAAAACTTCTAAATGTCATCTATCTGATAAGTTTCATAGACCGGGGTTAGAATAACTAGAAAAATTTATTTATATTAGCCTGGAGATATAATTAACAATGGGAAGATGGGAATAATTTATAGCTTGTAAATGTAATCTTGGATAAATCATACTAATTAATTGAACTGAAAGAAATCTTTCGAAAAAGAGGCACTTATGCAAAGTGATGCCAAAAGCTATTTTAAAAGGAATGTATTTGTGAAACCCTTTCTTCCCTGGAAAATTGCCATTTAAGTAATCTACTCTTGACAAAAACAATTGCTCTGTTTGTGTATGTGAGTGTGTGGGGGGGAGGGACAGTGTCTTGTACTAGACTCAATTCTTCCATATCAGTACCAAATTTTAGGTCCCCCATATCATTTTTCTGGTTTATCATAGTAATTTTTCAGTTGTCTCCTATTTCTTATCCTGTCTTCTTCAAATCATTCAATGCCTCTATACCAGTTTTGTTCTTTCTTCCTATTCCCCCTAGTTTAAATGTCTCCAATGTCTCCTGATTCTCTTAACCAGAGGCAATATTTTTCCTCCTCTGACTTCTTATAGAACTTTGTTTATACTACTTTATCAGCCATCACTTTCTACCTTACAGTTACTCATGTTTGGTCTTATCTTTTTATAAGACTATGTGCTTCTCCCAGGAACAATTTTTCTTTCTTTCTATTTTTTTTGGGGGGGGAGGGGGGGCTCATAAGCCCAGTGTTTATACAGCATATTGTGTATAATTGGTGATAATAGTAATTCACTAAATCAATGCTGAACCTTATGCATGAGTCTTGCATAAGGATTCTTGGTATATCCTCAGTGGCCAACACTGCTTTCCAAATTCATCAGTCTGGAATTTATGGACCTCCATAGCCTGACCCTAACCTTCATTTCCATACTTACCTATCACAGAAGTTTGGCCATATGGCATGTTACTGTCAATTTACTTACTCACACTTTCTGAACAACATTATGCTTTCCAATTTCCTCACCATTGCTTATGCTAATTTCTCCACCTGGGGAATGCACTCATTCCACCTGGAACACATTCCTTTCAATATCTCTGCTTGAAGAAGTATAATTTCCTTTTCAAACTCTGTTTAATCTGTTTTATCCCATGGAAACTTCCTTGGTTCTCTAAGCTGAGCATTACCTTTCACTCTTCTGCAATTTTAGGAAAACAGTGTATTGCACTATGTCATGTTATTGTGTGTTGTAGCCATTTGTAAACTTTCTCTTGGGTGGAGTCATTTACTGATCACTTACTATGTGCCAGGTCTGTGCTAAGAGTTTATGTTCATTATATAATATGTGCACTTCACCTCTTAGTGCTTGTACCCCCACTCACCATCATCAAACCAGTGTGCTATACAGTAATCCTTTTCTGCTTTCACCCAGTGGTCCAGAATAGAAGTTAGTCATATTAGCTACTTTAATGTCAGGTTGGAGAAGATGAATATGGCCATGATCACATGGAAAATAGCGAACATAATAACATTGTCACATTACATTAGTATAGAAATGTTGTGTGCCAAATTACAGTTCAGCTTCAATGGTATGTGCTACCATAAGGGAATAATACATCATACTGCTGTTATTTTGGTGCTATAGCTTAGGAGGGTGTGGGCACTGCTCTTAAAAGACTATTTTCAGAACTCTAATTTTTGCCAAGAGAAAATCTTTCTGATGGGAGTTTATTATATCTTTTGTATGAGAATTAGAAGTATTCACTGAAACAAGGATGAGATAAAAATGACTTTTTACCAGGACATTTAACCATATCTTCAGCTTTGTTTCTTACGTTCTTTTGTTGTTTGAAAAGAGAATCTAATATCAAGTGTCTGAGCATCAGTATCCGAATGAATGGAAGTGAATCGTAACGTGTATAAAAATAACTTGGATCCAAGTGACATTATTTCTCATCCATTTAAAACTGCCAGTAGTATTAAGCTGTAAGCTGAATTATTGCTGGTGCCATTTAGGACTGAATAAAATTTAGCAATTAGCTATGTCCACAACTAGATACTCATTGTGAATATGATAAATCTTATTAACTCTGAATCATTCAAGTATTTTAAAATGACAACTCTTAAGCTGTTTAAAGCAATTCAAAGCAATATTTACTGATAATGCCTTAGAAAAACTATCAATGGGGAAACAGGATCAGACTTGTCTCAGGTTAAACCATAATGAATTAAAATAGTGTTCGTACTAATTCAGAAAATGCAATGAAAGAAAACAATGTATGATAGAGCAACGTAATACATCATAGAAGTGCTATCTTCTACTATTTTAAATAGATATATTTGTTCTTCTTGTTGTTAATATACATCATAAAAGTGCATGCATAAAAGGAAGAATTGGTCTTTTCATATTACAGTAGGACAACTAAATAATAGCTTCAAGGCTATAATTAT